CCCCAAAACCCCAAAACCCCAAAACCCCAAAACCCCTGAAGGAAGGAAACCAATTGAATCAAAATTTAGTAACCCTTTAATAATAATTTCACAAATGGCTGATAAGAGACAACAAGATCTGAATCATCTTCGTGAGATAACTGAATTTCCTGAGAAAATCATCGTTGATTCATATGATTCCAACGGTCAAGATCTCCATAAGACAGCAAATACTCTTTTAGGACTAAGCCAGAATTCAAGTGACCAAGATGTTGATGCCGGTGAAGAATCAAAGCAAGAAAATAATATTAAAATAATCCAAGTTGAAAATCCCCAAGCTGAAAGAAAAGAAGGTAAGTAAGAACTTTCCTTCACTCTCAGAAATCTGAAATTTATAATCTAACTTGGTATAGAATCAGCAGCTGAAAATGGAAATCAGGGTCAAGATTGGAAGGGACTAGCAGATTGGTGAAGAGATAAGAGGAATTCTCCCCAGAAAGAACCCCTTCAAGAAGAATCAAATCATAAAGGATTAACGACTTGAGGACTTGTCAATTTTGGAAATAACTGATATTTCAATTCCTCTATTCAAGTACTCTTTCACATCCCAGAATTCACTGAGATCATCATGAGTGTATTCCCACAGCCAGTTATGTCAGTGAAAAACGGCTGAAATACTAAAATTCTCCAAAAATCTCAAGTAGTAACAAATACCCAAGCCCAAGAAGCACAACTCCAAAACACCCTACCTGCTTCAGAAGCAATCATAAGCAACACAACTGGGGAAGATAGCACCACTGAAGGTGTAAAGAAGGAAGACCAGCAGGATGATACCTTTAAGTCCAAATTCAGACTCCTTGAAAGCCTGCAGATCTTATTTACAAAGATGATAAAGTCTTCCATGCCATTCCAGAATGCTAAAGAGGTCTTAGATATTGTATGGGATGCTAAAAATGATCAGAATAATAGAAAAGGCGACCAAATGGACTCAACAGAGTTCTGTTATGAACTCCTCAACCAACTTTTAGAATCATTTAAGCCACTTGAAAATAACCTTGGCTCGAATGAAGATAGAAAGGGACAGAATGATAACTCTTGAGGAGATTTTAAGAAGAAAGCCACAAGTTTTCTCTCGTGTCTGATATCCAAGCAGACTAAAGTGGAGACAAATAGCCTTTCTGATCCATTAGATAAGTTTGATGATAAGATCATCACTGAAATAAATCAGTCATTAGCAGCAGCTAAGGAACGGCTCCAATCTCTGTTCTATGGCGAATGGAAGCCTTCTATTTTTCATGGAGACAACAATGAGTACTGATCTGAAATAGACCCTGAGAAGTTTGCCTCAATCCCACTTCTACCAAAATATGGAGATCTTTACTCTGCCTGGGATGCTACTTTTAATGAAGAGATATCTAAATACACTCCTAATGGCACAGATGAGGAAGTCAAAGCTCTGAAGAAATATGCTATTACTAAGCTTCCAAAGGTGTTAGTCTTCACCATCAACAGAGCTGAAATCGATAAAAATGGAAATCAGTGCAAAAATAACTGAAGGTTCGATTTTGATGATGTGATATATCCTGAAAAATATCTAGAAACCAGCATTGAACAAATCAAAGCGATCGAAGGAAGGATGAAAGGCTATTTTGAACGTGCACAATTTCTACAAATCAAAATTTCAAACTTCACAGGTGAATATAGTGAACAAAACCCTATAATCCCGATCTTAACTAGATGAACTGAGCTTCTACAATCTTCGACTACCCCAAACAATTCCATCAACCCTTATCCTGATATCAATGTTTATTATCCAGAAGATACCTTCAAGAATAGAGAAACTCCACTGACTTCTGAAAAGGCCGATGAAATTATAAATTACTTTATGATTGCAAAGGAGAAAATTAAGTGGCAGATCACTCATATGCAGAGCCAATTGACTGAAATTCTGAAAGAAATCAAGAGAGCCTACAGAGAAATTGATGCGACTCCTTACTACTTGCACTCCATGATCATTCACAACGGAGGCACTAAGTTCGGGCACTACTATGCCTTTGTCAAAGACCATGACTCGAATGTGTACTATAAGCTCAATGATGAGGATGTCCGAGTCATGGACTCCAGTAACGCTAAGGAAGAAGTTGAGCGAAGTAGCAAAGGAGGAAGCGGAGCTGAGAGCGCATCCTGTTTGGTTTATGTTAATCAAGGGATCCATGATAGGTTGGTGCAGAGTTCACTCAATTCAAATGCTCCAGGAGTGAATGGTAAGAAACATCTAGTTCATTTATAGAGCTGTTTAATTCACTGGTGCCTCAAGAAGTTGCTGAAAGTATTATTCAGAGTAATTTATTTGTGATATCTTTAGATGAAAAATCTCAGGCTGAAAAATAGTGCTTCCAAAATTATTGATCTTTATAACAGAAGACGCAAGATTGTTGACAATTTTCACCAAAATTGAGGGAGCCTCAATGAAAGTTTATCTTTGTCAATATTCTCAAGTTTTAGAAATAAAGATAAAGGTGATGATCCTGACTACTCTCACTTAGCAAAGTGGTTGCTCTTCAATCAATGATATCAAGAAATAACAAACAAAGATGGATATCAGGTGCCTTTAGAAAGAATGAGCCCACTAAGAAAGAAGCTAGAAGAGCTGATATCATCAGATAAAGACTACTTTCCAAATAGCTTGACTCTCATCAAAAATGAGCGAGACAAAATTCTCCAGACTGTAGAGAATTATAAGGAGTCAACCATCACAGCCAATATTGAATACAAAGTTTGTCAGGATATCTTGAACCATCGCCCAGATTTAGCTTTCCAAAAGATAATCAAGAGGCTCCATGAACTAAAGGATGTCACACAGATGGCTTGTCTCTACCGCCTCGGTGAAATATGTATGCTCAAAACGACTATGATGATTAATCGTGCTATCATAACGAAGGAATCTTTTGAAGAAGTCATTGAGCCACTACTATTTTCACTGATCCAAGCTTTTCATACTGTTTACACTAATAAAAATAGTCTCTTCTACAAGCAGGTTATCGATAACCTAGATGCTACTCTGATCATAGCGAAGGCAAAGCTTGAATGCAATGCAGAGAAGTTTGGTAACATTTTGGGAGTGCTCGAGGCCAAACGCTTTGACATGGTTAAAATCTCCCAGATTCTACTTCCACAATATGGGAAAGATTTAGAGACTACCATTACTTCTGTCCAAAACACCAACTTTATCACCGAGTGGGATGCTTCGTTCCTGACTGATAACATACAGTTTATGCTTAAAAAACTGCTGGGTAAACATCTTTTTATATCCAGGCTCTTGATAACTTCATTTTAACATACAATTTAGATGAACTTAAAATCAAGGAAAGTGTACTCTATGAAATCCACAGAAGATTAATCAAAGGTGAAGAAGGAGTACTACTACCTGAAGATTACTTAGAGATGGAAAAGAAATGAGGCATTGATCTTGTGAAGTTCTGAGAATAAATTATTCAATAAAGAAAACGTTTATAAATGAGTACCACTTGGCTACCCTTGAATCTCTAGATATCAACAATCTATCTTCAACCTATCTCTAATATACCGGGGTTTTGGGGTTTTGGGGTTTTGGGG